GGATTCAGTTTGCTAGTATTTTGCTGAGGACTTCTACACCTACATTTCTCAAGAATATGGGTCTGTAGTTTTCTTTTTTGTTGTTGTGTCATTGCCTAGTTTTGGTATAATGGTGATACTGGCTTCATAGAATAAGTTAAAAAGGATTCCCTCTTTTGGGATCTTTTGAAATAGTTTTGGTTGGATTGGAACCAGTTTTTCATTACAGATCTGGGAGAACTTGGCTGTGAATCTGTCTGGTCCTGGACATTTTTTTTGTTTCTACTCACTATTGGTAGGTTCAGGAGTTTCATTTCTCCCTGATTCAAGCCTAGGAGTTTGTATATTTCAAAGAATTTATTCATTTCCTCTAGGTTTTCAAGTTTGTTGGCATAGACATGTACATAGTAGTCTCAGATAATATTTTGTATTTCTGTGGTATCAATTATAATGTCTCCTTTTTCATTTTTGATTGAGTTTATCAAAATTTTATCTTTTCTTTTTTTGGTTAATCTAGCCAGTGGTCTATCAGTGTTGTTTGTCTTTTCATAGAACATTTCATTGTCTCCTGCTCCTCGTAGAATTCTTTCCTTCTTGTTGAGTTTAGACAGTCTGGTGACTATATGTGTCTAGTCACGTATTTATCACAAGACAACACTTCACAAGTTTGTCTGGTAATAAATCTCCCAGCAATTCCTTGAGTTTCTTATATCTGAATATCTAAATCTCTAGCAAGACCAAGGCAGTTCTCCTCTGTTACTCCCTCAAATATGTTTTCTAAACTTTTTGCTTTTTCTTCTTCTCCCTCAGTAATATCTATGACTTATAGACTTGGATACTTTACTTAACCCCACATTTTTAGAAAGCTTTGTTCATTTTTTAAATTCTTTTTTATCTTTTGTCTAACTGCGTTAATTCTGAAGACTTGTCTTCAAGCTCTGAAATTCTTCTGTTTGATCTAGTTTGTTGTTAAAACTTTCTACCATCTTTTGTAATTTCCATTTTTTTAATTTTAGGTTAATATGAGGGTATATACAATTAGGTTACATTATTTGTGTTTGTAAGATAAAATTCAAAGTCCAAGTTGTAGTTAAGTGTGCTATATATGCCTATATTGTATCCAAATGAATTTTTTAATTTACAAAAGCTCTGTTTGTTTTATTCTATTTATTTGTTTGTTTAGAACACGGTGCTTTTGATATCTGACTTACTGCCCTCCCAGCTATAACATCTTAGCTGCCAGGGATGTTAGATTGCATTTATTTTCCTGCTGGTGGTGTTTGAGTTTTCTTTAAATATCTGTCTCTTTAGAAAAATTTTCACTCATGGAGGTAGGGTAGAAAAATTGGTGTAGCATAAAAACTTACCTATTGGGTACAATGAACCCTATTCTGGTGATGTGCACACCAAAGCCCTGACTTCAACATTATACAAGATATCCATGCTAAAAAAGAAAACTTTGTACCCTCTTAAGTAATGTTTTGAAAAAAAAAAAATTTTAAGTATATTTTTTAAAAAGAAAAGAAATTTTTCATTCATGTCCTGAGTTGCTTTTCTTATTTCTTTGTGTTGACTTTCAACTTTCTCTTGGATTTTACTAAGCTTGTCACTGAGCTAATCAGTATTTCAAATTCTTTATTTGATATTTCCAAGATTTCATCTTCATTTGGATTTACTGCTGAAATGTTAAGCTGATCCTTTGGGGGTGCTGTAAAACTGTTTTTTCATATTATCAAAATTATTTCTCTGGTTTCTTCTCATCCAGCTAGACTGTCTTTCTTCTTATTTTAGAATTTATTTTCAATTGGATGGGGTTTTTTTCCACCTTCTGGATGTGACTATAATGTATATTGTATATGATCACCTGGCCTGTGTTCCATGTACTTTCAGTGACAAAAACTCTGTTTGAGTTCCTTTGTTATAGATAGCCTTTGTGTGGTGGCTTTCTCAGATGCTGGCTATAGGAGCAATGTACTGGGAGTGTGAGCAGCTCAATGTCTCCTGCAGAGCCAGAATATGAAAGAAAGTCTCAGGAACATTTATTTACCTCATTCCTCAGTTCTGTGTACTTTTTTTGTCAGTATGTTTTTCACTGGGTTGTGCAGTTCAGGCTCTAAGCCAGTAGGTGGTGACATGAATCAGAACTGGCTGTGGCAGAAGCAGATGGGGGTATGCAATAACCCAGTGGTGGGCACAAGCTCCAGCCTTGATGGGAGCTGCAGGATGAGATCCCAAGAAATGCATCAAGGTTTCCATAGGAGGAAGAGAGGACAGCTACCCCAGCTCCACTACCAGGCTGGCAGAAATGTGATCTGCCTCCCTGTCATGCTCCTGTCCCCATGCTCAGGATATTCAAATCAGGTAGACACCATTGTCCATCTGCAGGAGCACTGCTGTTCCATGTGGAGAGGGGGAAGGGTCCTACCCCTTGCTCAAGCTTGGACCAGAGGGCACACCTCATGTAGGTATGGAGTCACCACTAAACGATCCTAAACAGCTGTCCATAGGCAATACTTGTACTGACCTACCATAGGAACAGTACCTGCTGTGTCCATAGCAGTGAGGGGAAAGAAGAAATCCCCCTCACCATGTCTCTTCATGAGCCCTGGGGCTGCCGGACCCCTGCAGTGGAACCACAGTTTCCCCCACAGAGCCCAGCACAGTGCCCACATCTCTGCAGAAAACAGCATAGTCATCTCTGTCCACAAGTGGGGAACTCTAGGACACAGAAAAGCCCATGTTCCTGGTTTCCTTAGTTCTAAGGGTTGTTCCCTTAGTGCAGTACACTCCCTTCTATGAGGAATGGCAATGCCTAGGATAGACCACTTGGGAACCCTGCTGCACTGCTGGGACTGGCCACCCTAGGTGGCTACTGCAATGTAAACAGATGCTAGAGAATGTGTGCAGGTCATCCAGTAACGTGAAGATGCAAAAAGGAAGGTCCCTAGGCAGTGCAAAGTTCCATAAAGCATCGATTATGGCACCTTCCACTATAATTTGTATAAGGGAGTGGGGAGGCACACAACGCAGCCCTGTGTGAGCTGGTAGCCCAGTGTCATGCCCTCACGTTCCCAAGTCACAGCCCACTCCAGTACGTGGTCTCATGAGAGCAGAGCAGCTCTTTTTAAGTTCAGAAGCCAGCAGAGCAATGGGAGCTGAAAACTATCCCCACCTACCCTTTCCATGGACTATTAAGTGCCTTTGGGGTTCAATCTCAGCCAGCTTCTTCCTTCTTTCTTTTTTGTGCATCATCATAGCTTCTCTCTAGGAGCTCTCCAATAAGGCTCCAGCACTCTTCCCTGAACTCTCCACTTCAGTGCTGTTAAAAGTCTCCAGTCAGCTATCTGAGAAGGGAAGAAAAAACCCTAGACAAACCAATAACTTTAGCCTTCTTATAGGACAAATAGGTAACTGAACAAAATAACAAGCTAATAGATTAAATTGTTTCAATAATAAACATTCTCAGAGTAAATGACATTATTACACTTGAGAAATAAGGCAGCTATAAAAATCAATAATAAAAATGAAGCTGTTCACATTGGGGGATGTGTATTACCTTATAGTAACACAAGGCTTTTCTTGTGCAAGACTTTTCTGGACCACGTGGTGCTGGAGCAATCAGGGCTCCAGTGATGGCTCCAATGATGGCTCCAGGGATGGCAGGAGCAGGCTTTCAGAATGTGCCAGTGAAGGAGATAGTCCGGAAGTATTTCCCTGAGACCTGGATCTGGGACTTGGTGGAACTTGAGTAAGTTGTATAATGTGTTCTGGGGAATTTAGTCTATGAGAGGATTTGAATCTCCTCTATGATTCTGATGTCTTCCTGGATTTCTAATCCTTTCAGTTCTGCCCCACTCTTTTCTGATAAATATTTAGGTTCACAGTTTATTTATCTTATAGCTAAGCAATGCCTTTTTTTCCTAATTTGATTCTTAGAGAACTAAAGTAATAAAAAGCAGAGGTTATAATCCCTTTAAATAAAAGGAAGGGAAGGGAGAAATGAGAAAAGGAAGGAAGGAGGGAGGAAGGAAAGAGGAAGGAAGGACTTATAAAAGACAGCACTAGGAGCACCAAACTTTAGGTCAAGTTTAGCATTTACTGCTCTAGGTTGGAGTTATTGTGTCTTAGAATCAGCTATGGTTTATGCTAGAAAAGAGATTTGTTCACATACTTCTTTGTTCCTTCACTAGCTTATCAGGTGGAAAAGAGTTAGAGATGAAGGTTCCTGACACCATCACGGAGTGGAAGGCCAGCGCATTCTGCTTGTCTGAAACTACGGGTCTCGGCCTCTCTCCTGTCGTCCCTTTTCAAGTCTTCCAGCCCTTCTTCCTAGAGCTCTCACTCCCATATTCTGTGGTGCGAGGGGAAGCCTTCACACTCAAAGCCACTGTGTCCAACTACTTGTCCCACTGTATTCGGGTAAGAGTGCTACTCTGGAAGTGAAAGCAGAAGGAAGGACTATAGTCACCGTGCTTTTCCTAGGTCTCTAGGTAACGCAGTAAATCATAACTGAATATGGTCTGTATTAATTTGGGGACAGAACAGGTACTCGGAGCAAACCTACCTGATAGGTCCAACGTGGTAAAGTTATGTCTATCCAGATCTCTATATCTTTGTATTCCTAAATTCACACATTATATACACCTTATTCACTTTTTCACTCTGAAAAAACATCTCATCCTTGTGTTGGCATTAGGCAAAATCCTAAGCATTTATCCCAATTTCTATCTGTTTTTCAATTCCCTTATTGTAAACCATAAAATACATAGCTGTGTCCCCTACCCTGTGCCCATGTCCCTTCACAAACTTGTGGTTGGTGTGGGGGCAGGTCAATGTGCAGCTGGAAACCTCATCTGCCTTCCTGGCG